CAGAATTCTAATAGTCATATTAAACAAAAATGCATTTAGTTTTTGTATAGAAAATTATAAAAATCATCTAATTTGAAACAAGAAAAATTTCCTAAAAAATTATTTAAAATTATACGGATGGAGTATCATCAGTGAGTGAGTGTGGTATATTTTTAACAAAGTTTCTTATTTAATGTATTTTTTTAAATGAGAAAAGTCAAAACTTGTGTAAAAAAAAGTGAGAGTAAATAAAATTTGGCAAAAAGAGTTCAAGGCCCATTTAACTATAATAGGCCAAAAGGCCATATTATCTCGTGCATTTCAACTTTTCCGGCGGGAAAAGTTTCTGGAATTTCCCATTTCTAAATCCAACCTAAAGCGCGAGAGAGAGAGACGAAGGAAAATTTCCAAAGCGATAGTGAAGATTGAGAGATTTTCCTGAGAAAATGGAGGGAAATCAAGCAGGATATTCTCTAGATCTATTGATAGCTTCGTTCAACAAACGAGTCGGCGAGTTACAGGAACTCGTAATCGCTCGAAACAGTGAGTCAGTCGAGTTTCCAACACTCGAAACACAAATCGCGTTGCTCTTTCTCCATCTTATGACCTTAATTTCGCTTTTCTTCAGTGTATCCGGCGAGTAGCATACCGGATTTAACGGCGATCGACACGGCGTTGAGCTCGATGGAGCTTCAAGTACAGTCGATTAAGGACCGGGTACGTGAAGAAACCGAAGCTATTCCAAAAGCCAAGGTATACGTATTGTGATTTTCAAACCCAGATTCATATCAGAACCTTGATATTCGTCATTTTGATTTTGAGTAATTTAGGGTTTAGAATCGGAAATCAAATTCAATGTTCATAGATTTTGGGGGAATTTTGTGTTGTTTGTAGAAACTTATTGAGGCAACATTGAAACAACAAGGGAAATTGAAGAAGATGTCTGTTTATGCACCATCACATTTTCCTGATAAGACTACAATGTTGAATTCAGATATAAATAGATGGTATATACATTGTCTAGCCTTTTTCTTCAATGTCTCTTGGTATATATATACATACAATTATCTAAAGATTAGTTGGTTTTTATACAAGTTTGCTCCAAGAAAATGTCAAGCTTCACGAACAGAATTCGGCTCTCGTCTCATTGAAATCTGATGAGGAAGCAGCTGTTTTACCTAAGGTGAAACTTACTTAATGGCCTTTAAGACTCAATGGTTATGATGAACTGTGGTGCGTTCTGTTATCAATGTCTATGGTTAATCTTTGAGTTTGTGTTTATAGGAGAAGAAAGGTCGCGGGTCTCCTCCGCTTTGGTATATAACTGTTGATGAACTCAATTCCCTCTCTTCGTAAGTGCATTTTACTTTTTTCATTTACATGTTTATGCGAAATGCGTATTGATTTTTCTGAGATATTTTCATTATAAAGATACATGAGAGGAAGACTCACCCTTGAGAAAGTGAATGCGGCTATCAATGACATGGCTTCATATGCTGAAACAAATGCTCATCTTATTTCAGCCCCGAAACAGAAGGTCTATTTACATGCATTATGCTCTATTACTAGCTTCTGGATTTGATTTATAATATGCTACAATTGTACTGACTGTTGTTTGTTATATTGCAAAGCTGGCGGAAAATCTCTGGGAGAAAGCACTGGTAAGCTATTTAACTCATCAACGAAACTGTTGAGGTGATAGTATCCGTTCACTAGCGAATACATTGTTTCGCACAATCTATATAAGCTAAAAAGGGTAAGAATTTATCGGTGAAGAAGCTAACTAGTAATCTTGAAACTCTTATATGTAGAAACTACGAGACATTGTAACAACTGGTGTCTTAAAAGGAAAACATTTCTTTCTTGAAACTGACATGAAGGGACCAATGCTGAAACTTGACAACACAGGCAAAGCAATACTTACAGTAAGTAATATCTGCTTCCTTGATTTCAACAACAAAAAAACATTTTTATGCTCAACTCTTCACCAGAATTACAATGGAAATACACAATCATTGTCATGTTTTGATGTCTTTTAAAAGGTTCTTCGTCACCTTGGTCGTATCAGTGAGGCTCGCATCGGTCAGAACCGCGTAATCATTCTTATGAAGCCTCATTAGAGACCAAACTTCCTCAACTTTGTTCATTTCTCACAAGCGTTAGGGGTAATTCCGTCATTCTGAAATCAATTTCTTGTTTCTTTTTGGAAGCTTCCTTCTACCTTAGAAGGTCTAATATTCTGCTCAAAAGGCCCAGTTGAATTTTTCGAATTTGTAATGTGGAAAAAATGTTTTAAAACAATTTCTTCTATTTGCACAAAAGTAGCAAAACTCGGTTTCCGTTATTTCATTATATTTTTAAAAAGTAATTTCTCTAAGCGATAGTACAAATTTTTATTTTAAAAATCTGGTTCAAGTTCCAGTGCACAAATGGCTTGTCTCATTCAAATCTTCAAAGTAGCAAAACTTGGTTTCCGTTTTTATTTAGCGACTTTTGATTTAACTGTACATAGTTTACGTAACCTCCATGATTATATATCTATGGTAAACGTTTAAGCCTTTATAGACCGAATTCATTTGAACGAAACCCAGAAATATGTTTATTTTAAATATATATTCGAAATGTAATATCAATATTTCTCTTTTCAACCTTTCCTTATATAACGACCTTCGATTGAATTAAACAAAAAAAAAGTACTTGTGTTCTGACAAACTAAGAAAAATGATAAATTTCAACAAAAAAAATTAACTTTGTGAGTAATTGGATGTTGTATGGTCGCTTTGAAACTATTTCAGTAGACAGTAACCATAAACCAATGAAGTAGCATTGGAGAATCTAAAAGATGATATTATATTCCTGATAATGCAATGCAGTTAATAGTCTTGAAGACATGAGTATCCAAAAGTTTGGAGCTAATGTGAATGCATCCTTCCACAATTATGTTTTAAACTTAGTGTTTTGTTTAAACTAAATTGTAAGCCATATGATATTGACCTTGTTAATTGGGTTTATAATAATTCAGCAACATTTTTTGTCCGAATAGAACAAAACATTGTTAATCATTTGTGTCAATGTATACAAATATGTCCATAACAAGAAAATATAAAGAGGAAGTAGAAAATGGAATGGAGAAATGTGGTCCATGAAAACAGGAAATTTAAAGACTATTTGCCTCACAAACATTCACAATTTCACGTTTATCCATAATGTCTGTCCCAATCTTTTTGTCTTCTTTTTTCATATAAACCCAATTAATCAATTTTTAGTCATCCTTCGTTCGTGCAATGACACAAAAATACATTATCATTATGCATAAAGACAAAGAAACACACCACAACACAATACTCTTCTTATAGCATACAATTTTTTTTGTTTAAATCACATTTATTACCAACCAACTAACATAAAAATTATTCATATTTATGTTGTAACATAATTTTTTAGTTTATACAAAAAAAAGTAGACAAATCATAAATTCTCTGCAGAATCATTTAGACTTATAGAGTTTCTCCATCACCATTTTTACTTCGTTTTCTTTTTCAAACGTATCATTTAACTCAGCCAAGAAAGATATGGTCGGTTCAATGCATTTAATGATTACAAAAAAAATTAATCTTTTTGAGAGACTTGAGAATTTACTTCCCCGCAGTAAAATAATAAATCTAGGCCGTCTTAAATAGTGAACTATAATATGCAATCATGAATCCTTGAATAATCTTTGTTTTTAGTAAGGAGAAGCAAATAAAACGGATTATACGAATATATGTTTCATTTACTTAAAAGTATATAAATTGTTTGGAAATAAATAACATAGAATGCTCCCATAAAACCACCCAGTACACAGACCAGACAAAATCAGGATATCTATTTTAATTCCATACTTTTAAATTCGATATTTAGATATTGATTTTTTTTTTTAATTTAAGAACGTAATTAGATTAGACTATTAGTTACGTGTATTCATTCTACTTACCACTTCCGACCAAATTTCACTAATAGAGTGGAGCTCTATGCGGTGGTGTATTCTTCCGACGGTTAACAAAGTTCGCCGGAGCTTCCGTGTTAGTCGGAGAAACCACCGTCGTAACTCTCCGGCAAGTCGACGACAAGCTGCTTCTTTTTTTCCGAACTATCTCCGTCGTGGCGGTGCAAGCGAGCGCTTGACACCAGAACATGTCTCCTACTCCTCCGTTACCGCCGCCTGACCCGGAAGATGTTCGGGTCGACCCGGTTGGTTCGAGAGTGGAGCTCGGAGTCGTCGTTGTGGTTCCTTCGTCGGTTAAATGAAGAACGTTGCAGACTCGGAGAAACCCTGAAAGCTCTCTTTGTCTCATTATGACGTCACTTATCTACAAAAACAAACAAACAGAGAAATGTTTGCTTTTTTCAGCGACAATTACGTGTAATTATGATCGTACACGCATGTTATC